CCTTTGCCACTTTTCATTACTAATAATCTCTCGTTACTCTCTGCCACTTGCGAACAACAAATATTTTCTAAATCAATAATCAATAATAAACCGATAATCGATTTACCAAACTTAACCCAAAAACGAAATTGTATAATAATTTTCCCGAGCTATATTTATATAATCGTCAATCTCCCAATGATGCAAATTTTTCACGTAAGGAAAAAAAAAAAAGATAAAAAAAAAAATCGGAAGATCACAGGTGATTGTATCCTTTTTCGATTGTTTCGATAAGAAAAAGCAAAAAGGAAAAAAAAAAAAAAAAAAAAAAAGAAGTAAGAGCCGGAACCAAGGTTCCTATAAATCGAATCTCCGACGCAAATGATCTCGAGAGTAAAAAAAAAAAAGAAAAGAACTCTCGAGACTCGCTCTCGAGAGAGTATTCTTCTCAAAGTGGACAACCGCGTTGGCGGGCCGATTTTGTTCGACGATTTTCACGCTCAACGCGATTGCCCCATTGGCGAACGAAATAAGTTTCGAGAGCGATTCCCAAGAAACAACTCGTTTCACTCGCGAAACGTATTTCCATCCTATAAAATACCGATCAAATATGGCGAGGAGAGAGAGCAACGTAAAAAAAGACACGGCTATTTCGACCTCTCCTTTCGTCTCCACGTTACTTCGAGAGTCCGCGTTTCGAAAGATTTTTTATCGTTCCGTAACTTTTTGCGATCCTACCTACTACTACTATTACTACTACTACTACTACTACGTACGCAATATAGAATTATTAATTAATGTAACTTTTTAGCGTGTGCGTGCGTCTATTTGTGCATGCGTGCGCGTGATACCATATAAAATAAATAATCTAATAATTGAGGTACAGCTCGGTTGATTTTGCACGATATTTCGGATCCGATCGTTTGCGATCCAGCCAGTTTCTTTTTTCGACCGTTTTCGACGCGTACGTTATCTCGAATTAAAGAAAAAAAATAATAATAATAATAATGAATAGTAATAATGATAAAGGGAAAGGAGTGTCGAAATTCTCGACTCGATTTCAACAAGCGTCGTTTCATGCGTCGATACACTTACATATCTTCTTACATTGCAAAATCGAGAGGAAAATGCATAGATGGAATGAAAACATAAATGGAACGTTTAATCGATGAAAACTCGCCAAAAAAAATATATATATATATATACATATATATTTAATCGCACACGCGACAGTGCGATTTTTTAATCCTTGCTTTTTATCCTCGAGCGTGCGCGTCGAACGGCCGAATTATGTATTTGGAGGCAGTTCAAAAAAAAAAAATAGTAAACGATGAATTAAACCCTTTCGAGCTTAATAAAGAAACCAGGAAATAAAAATGCGACAAGGAAAAAATACACAGGATGAATCAAATGAGAAGAAAAGAAAAAGAATGAGTGTGTGAAGAAGAAATGCATACACGGATACGCGAATACCTGGAAAAGAGAGAGAAAAAAAGAAAAAAAGAAAGAAATGCAAAACGCGTTCGAAGAGTGAACCGATTTGATTTTTCGCGATGGAGAATGATGCGTTGAAAGAAAAAAAAAAAAAAGAAATAAGAAAAAAAAATTACTAAATAATAAAGAAGAGATACGAATTCTTTAGCGGACGTGCGATCCAACTGTGCCTCGAATAAAATCTTGAGCGACGTCCCCTCCGACTAAACGAAAAAATGAAAAAATCAACAAAAAAAGGTAGAAAAAAAAAAAAAAAAAAAGATTATGATATGTAATAGATTGTAAACGTTCACTACTATTCTTATTGATATTATTGTCATTATTATTACTGTCATCATTATTATATTGTCATTGTTATTATTACTATGATTATCGTCACGCGCATTTTAGAGGAATTATTCACGTGCAATCTGCGATGGCGAATTCCGCGCGACATTCGTGTTTTTACTTCTTGAGCGTTGCGATGGAGAGAGAAGATAACAAGTAAAACAAAAAAAAAAAAAAAGTAGAAAGAAAGAGAGAACAATGTGGGGTGAAAGAACGGTGGTAAATTCGCGGACAACGGACAGAGAAAATTCCCGTTTAATTCCCGATTAATTTTCCATTGTTCGAGGAAAGATTCTCCGTGGCGAATTTTGGAAAAAAAGAAATTTCCACGATTCTCGAGATTCTTCCGCGTACGAAAAATCAATTCTCGGATCATCGATCTTCTCGGTATATCGCTATTTTTCTTCACTTAAATTAAGAATATTGTAACATTCGATTCTAGTTTTTATCAAAGTATATTCCATATATAAATTGTAGGAAAATTTTGAAACTTTTTAACGCTAAATCCATTTAACTTCCTCGTTTAAGATTAACAATTTAACGATTTACTTATCGATATCGAGTTTAGCTTATAATAGAATAAAGGAGGAGAAAAAAAAAAAATCTAATTATAGCGAGGTAATCTAATCTCTCTTACTTACTACGCTCTAATAACGTTACGAGGCTTAAAGTTAAAAATTGAGCGATGATCGATGATCGAGATAGATAATGGATTTCACGCGAGAGTTTCGTGAATCACGTTTTCTGTTTGTAATCTTTGTCCGGTGTTACGTGATCGACGAGTCGGTGTCCCAAGAGGGAAGAGCGTTTCTACGAAGCCCAACTTCCGCTTGTTCTTGGCTCGATCTTTGTAGGCGAAACGCCGATCAATATCGCCCTGTTGGAGAAACGCCAATTGTAATTGGAAAGGAAAGAACGAAAATAAAAGTGAGAATGAATGAGAGTATACGATAGAGCGAGTGTGAGAGTGAGAGAATGGTATGAGAGCGTTAATTAGAGAGCAAGAGCGAGAGAGAGAGAGAGAGAGAGAGAGAGAGAGAGAGAGAGAGAGATAAGAATAGTGTG